CTCTGGTAATGAATCAAACCGTATCACTGGGCCAACCCTTCCTGCACCAGTAGAAAAACAGTGTCTCCTAATGGTTTGGAGGCCAGGCTCAACTCTTCCAACAAGGGCCACCACATACGGTTGTGCAGGTTGAGCACTACACGGTAAGAGCCTAATCTAAGTGGTACTCTTCATACAGCAGATGCAGTTGATACGAGCATTCACTTCATTATGACAATTTCCCAGAAGGGGGAGCAAAGTTTCTTGTTCTAACGAAGTCTGTATTTTATAACAATTTTCTGACAAATAGTTGTAAAGTGTCTTGAGGAAGGGGATCTTTTTTCGAAATCACGCGAATCTGCCCTATAGGTTAGTGGTGGTTAGCTAGCTCTTATGGTTTCTTCCCCTTGAACTGTGATGGAACCTAGATTCCAACCATGCACAGTGGTTTTATTCAGCCTTTTGATGGCTCAGATGCATCTGCTTCGGGCAGTTAAGGCACACTCGCTCTCCTCCAAGCCCATGTGAGTCCATCTTCTCTACCCAGCCCATCCCCCTCCCTCCCAGATCTCAATCTACCAACGTTATTTTGTTTTGTTTTAATCACAACAGATCATTTTTTGTCTAGTTAATCTCATTTTTCCAAAATTCAAACACAGCTCTAGGGCTGTCCATTGCACAAACATGTCAGATCCCGTGATCCAAGAAGGCCTCCAACCAGAAACTGTGTTTATGGAGCTATTCCTCTCCTGCCCTATCTCTCTGGAAGGGTTCCAGCAGCCTTCTAAACATCAATTCTTAACACTATTAACTTCTATATTGCTCACATAGAAGTATAAGTCAGTCTGAGTCATAGTTGGCTCCAGCTCCATCAAAAGTCAGCCCTAGGGTCAGTGTGGACTGCAGTTAAATTGCCACCGTAACGAGCACCACGACAATATCAACTCTAAGTAAGCTCACGGTTTCACGCTCCAAATCGTTCTGATCCTGTTCCGTAAGAAACCTCATGTAAAACCGAGAAAAACACTGCGAGAAGGATACAAAGCTCTCTCAAAGGCTGTTACAGTGTTTTCCCCTCTTCGGAAGCTTGGAACCCACCGTAATTCCCATTTAAACATCTTGAAAGGACGTCTCTTATGCACCTGGGCTGAAGGTCATATTCTAATTATTCCTCAGAGAAGCTTGAGGGCATTCTTTGATGAACCCAAAGTAATCAAGTTCTGACCTGGCCGTACCTGTCTCCACGGTACAGCGATCAGGACCGGGGCTGCCAGTGGGACTTGGAAGGGGTCCCACCTCCACTGGGTCGGGGCTGTCGTGGCAAAGGGCAGTGCCAAGGCCCAGGCCACGTACAGGGGACTCACAGACTATCGCTGTGGCTCTCCCTCGGTGCCTTTGCTCCCCCCAGCCCGGTTGCCAAAGACTTCCACCAGCATCTGCTTCTTTCCCTTCTAGAAAGGAGGCGTGTTCGAAATGATGTATCTACTCTGCCACCTAGCCCTCAGCCCCATCACTACACCAGAGCTGCCCTGGGCCCATCCGCACGGACCTCAATCCTGCTGAACTTCCCTCTGTCTGGGGAGAGACCTGAGCTACTGGGTGCTTTATTTCTTAAAGCACCTTAGGTTTAGAGGATGAAGTGGCAACATTAGCATGCCGGATGTGTGCTGGTCTCCACCAAGGGCCCGATGGCAATCCCATGAGATCCTTAAGGCGACGTAACCACTCACTGCAGGGAAGGGTTTCCACAAGTCTGTCCAAAGCAGTGAGGAGAGTAGCACACAAAAAGGAAAAGGATAAAGACCCTTAGCTGACAATTTTCCAGCGGAATCAGAGGAACCCATGATACTTCACTGTCCTATCAAAAGTCCGGCTTTCCCAAACCATGCTCTCAGGTGTCACCCTTGCCTTGAAAACCACTTAGAAACTCCACAGAAAATGACCAAGCCCCACAAGATAAAAATGCTACACGCCTTTTGAAAAGTGGTCCATACAGAAGCATCTTTCACCAGGTTGCATTTCTTGAAACTTGGTTTTGATATGCAGGTAATTTTTTTTTAAAGGAATGGGGAGGAGACATCTCGAAGGGATGAGACACAAGTGGCTGATATTTAACTTCGTACTTCTCCAAGAAAAATGCGGTTGAAGGGCATCAAAACTCGGGCATGCCAGGGTGGAAAGCAGAGTCGGGAAGTTCACGGCAGGGAAAGCAAGTCAGCAATAAAGGAGGGGAGGGAACCTGGCCTCCGACGTGGGCATCTGGCAGGAATCAAATGAGCCCCTCTTAACTAAATTCACTGACGCAGACTTTTTTTTTTTTTTTTCTCCAGAAGCAGTCTTGCAAAGGTGATTGTGAACAGATCTAGGCCTAGGGAGTAGAGGTGGGGAAGGAAGCAGAATCAAGAAAGGCCCATGGGCATGCCCCATAATCCAAGAGCATGTAGCAGGTCTTCACCTCCACTGTCACGTTAGGTAGGGACTCGTGCAAGCAAACCCATCTGGCCTGTCCCAGCTTTGGACCAAACCACTGCAGACAGCCCCAAGCTACTGAGAATTCCCTTATGTTCTCTTCAGAAGCCTACGCCAGGTGCCTGGGAGAGCAGGTCCGTCCCTAGCTCTCAACCCCTCGTGACTGAGCCCACTTCTAAGCAGACACACGGAATGGTCACTTAACATTTATGGAGCTGCAGAGCATGCGCGCCCCGCGGCCCCTCTGCACCCTACCCCTGGGACCAGCCCCAGCCACCACCTCCTCCTCCTTCTCTCCGCAGGCTTCTCGTCTTCTCCATGAATCATCCCCCTCTTCCTTCTACCTGTCCTCACACATTTGATTTTCCAGCCACTGGAAGTCGGCTAGACAAAAAAGACGTGTCACTGGAGGCCGTCTCTCTCAGAATAGAGGGTGGCTGGAAGGAGCCACTCATGTTTCTCTGGAAGGAGCACCACAATTTCCCCATTCATCTTAAATGCTACCAGTGTGCCTGGAGTCAGCTTTGCTGGTGAGTTGGTGCAGAAATAGGAGCAGGGGTCAGAACACACACCGCACACCGTTGGGCCGCTCTTCTAGTCTGAACTTGACACAAAAGGGAAAATTATACATGATCTCCCTGGTTCCTCAAATATTTCAACGGAATTTTTGAATATGAATTCTCCTCCTACCTTCCCAGACCCCCAGAGAGAAGGGAGAGGCAATGCAAACAGGTCTTGTAGTTTGGGGTTTTTTGTTGTTGTTGAGATGGGGGAGGGGGTTTGGGGTGGGTTTTTTGTTGTTGTTGTTGTTTTGGTTTCTTCATCACTACAGGCAGCTCCTCCTCTCTCTCCCAGCCAACACCTAAAACCCCTCTGGCACTACAAACAAAAGCACAACTTTAACCTCTAGCCTTTTAAAATGTGCCTTTCAGCAAACAGATAAGCAAGTAGAAAGATCGCGATCTGGGAATGTTAACAGCATCCAGTGTGATGCTCCTGAACCAAATGAACCAAACCGGCAAGAGAAATATTTTCTTAAAAGCAGTCCTACAGAAAGAATTCTTATCATAGATAAGGGTGCAGTCTAGTGGCAAACTTCATGAAATGCAGCCCCTTTTCCAAAGGAAAGTGAGAGCACTTCCAAAGAGCCAGGGGAAATGTAAAAGGGGTGAATCCCACCCCCACGGCCTCCCAGATGGGAGGTGACCTATCAGCAGTGACAGGTCATCTCTCTCTGACCCAACTGGGTCAGTTTCACAAACAAAGGAAATCATCACTTTCCTTCAAGATTTTAGCTTTCTTTCATTTTCCTAAGGAAAGAAGGGATCCAGCAGTGTTCGAAGAGGTTGCCTGAGCTTTCCAACAGAATAATAATGTTGCTGGGCAGGATCTCTTCAGAGCGAGTCCTATGGCCCTGTCAGCTCGCTGTCCTGAGATGTAACTGTGTGTGCCAGTTAACCTAACAAGGTGCCTCTCCGGTCTGTCACCCATGCCCTCCAGAGATGTGGCCCTCGCCAGCAGAGATGCCCGGGGGGGGGGGGGGGGGATGTGGAGGGAAAATACCACTCCCATCTGCCTTCCTTCCATCCCAAAACCCCACACCAGGACCCGTTAGGTCACCAGGCAAGATTTTCAGACTTAGCATCTTCTGGAACGTGCCAGTCTCTGTAAGTCACTGCTCCCTTCAATGCTGCTGTATGAATATCCCTTCCTGCAAACACACACAACACAGATACCCACAAGCGTGCACAAGCATGCAGCATTTGCACACACGCAGAGCTTCCTTAGGCCAACAAGGAGCCGAAGGAAGGTGGCCACCCCTTGATCCTATGACCAAAGACAGTCACTCCACACTCCACCAGCGAAAAAAATGCTTTTAATCAAATCCCCTATCCCCTTTCCCGGACTTTGGGGGGTGGGGGGAATCTAGTTTTTCTTCTCTTTTCTTTTTTCCTTTCTTTTTAATTCAGCTCACTCCCCTCAGCTGGCCATCCTGCACTAACACTCCCCTTCACACACACACACACACACACACCACACACACACACACACCTCACATAGTAACTTAGACACTAGCAGACAGCCATTTCCCAAAGCTTGGGAAGAATTTCTTGGGCACGGTATATATCCACTTGGCTAATAAGAAAATGCTTCTCCCTGCAGCCGGAGCCTTGGCTAGTTAAGGGGTGGGAGGGAGGGAGACCGAGTTCCTCTTCAGTGGGGACACCAACTCCTGAATATTCGCTTCTTCCACTCGACCCCCCCCCTCCACCTATCCACACACCCCCCCCCCCGCCTCCCTGCCCCGTAGGCAGCCCAGCCCGGTCCCCCGTGCCCCCTTCTTGCATTCCGGGGGGAGGAGGGCACTGCTCCGGGAGCGCAGGGGAGCCCCCGTGTGTCTAGAAGGCCTCTCCCCACCCCCACCCCGTGTGAGTTTGTACTGCAAAGCTCCTTGGCATCCTCGCCTGGGTTGGGTGTTGGGGAGCTCAAATAGCAGCTACAAACTGGCTGGCAGCCAGGGGCCGTCTATTTAAAAGCGCCTGCTCCACCGGAGCCCGTAGTCTCTTTGGAAACTTCTGCCGGGGGAAAGAGCTAGGAAAGAGGAGCAAACCGGTGTGGGGTTCTCTCTCTCTCTCTCTCTCTCTCTCTTTTTTTTTTTTTTTTGCTCCTTTTAATTACCCCCTCTTCCGTTTGCACCCTTCTTCGAGCTTCACGCAGAACCTGCGAATTTCCAAGAGGTGGTGGCACAGCGGGAGCAGAGAGGTGTTAGGGGTTTGGATTGGGGGCTTTTTTTTTTTTTTAATTTCTTGATTTCAACATCTTCCCCCACCCTCGCGGCCACCGCCGCCGCCTCTTACCTGTTCCGCGGCAGCCGCGCGCTGCAGGCAGCTGAAGGTTAGGGACTAGGGGCAGGGTGCATTTTAGGTCTTAAACCAAATTTTTGAAGACAAACCCATTTTGCTCCCCCCCCGCCCCCACCCCCCTTCTCCTCCACAGCCTCCGAGCTCATTATTTCGGCGGTTTCTTTGGGGTGAACAATTTTTGGCTTTTTCCTCCCTGTAATTCTGAGCAGGTCTGGCCGGGGGGGTTGTTTCTCTGGCCTCCACTCCCTCCGCGTGCACCTGGCGCTGCTCTTTTCCCCCCAACCTGTTGCAAGTCCTTTAATCCTTGCAACTGGGACTCGCTTGCAGGCACCTCAGCCCTCCATCTCTCCCCACATTTTGCAATTGTCTGGGGGAGGGCACCTGCTCTACCTGCCAGAAAAAAAAAAAAAAACATTTTTTTAATTTCTCCGGACGCCCTCCTGGCCCCTTTCTCCCCACACTCTCGCTCTCGTGCCCCGCCCCAAGGTAAAGGGGAAGACTCGGAGAAGATGGTGCTCACCGCGGTCCTCCTGCTGCTGGCCTCCTGTGCGGGGCCGGCCCAGGGCCTGGGCTCCTTCGTGCACTGCGAGCCCTGCGACGAGAAAGCCCTCTCCATGTGCCCCCCCAGCCCCCTGGGCTGCGAGCTGGTCAAAGAGCCCGGCTGCGGTTGCTGCATGACTTGCGCCCTGGCCGAGGGGCAGTCGTGCGGCGTCTACACGGAGCGCTGCGCCCAGGGGCTGCGCTGCCTCCCCCGGCAGGACGAGGAGAAGCCGCTGCACGCCCTGCTGCACGGCCGCGGGGTTTGCCTCAACGAGAAGAGCTACCGCGAGCAAGCCAAGATCGGTGAGCGCGCTCCGTGTGCCAGGCGGGTGGCGCGGCGCACGGCCGGGGACGCGGGACGGGCCGGCCCCGCGCGCTCGGCCCCGCAAGTGGCTTGGCGCCGGGGTGGAGCCCGGGAGGAGGGTGGGCACGGTCCTGGCCCCCCGGAATCGGAGCCTGGCGGACCCGGCTACCCCGCGCCGCGCTCCCAGCCGAGCCCCCCGAGCCTTCGCTCCTTCCCCTCCTCCCCCCCGTCTGAATCTGCCCCGAGCTGCTAGTCGGCGTCCCGGTGCCCCGGTGCAAACCCCCAGGTGCTCAGCTTCCAGTCTGAGAAGGCGCCTGGTACCCTACCGACTCCCTCCGCCACCCACCCAACACGGGTTCTTTCGAACTTGGAAAAAAAAAAAAAAGAAAAATCTCTTTTGTTAAAATACTGCTTTAACTGGGGACCTGGAGAGAGGGGCGGCAGCGGCCCTCGGCGGTAATCCCACCTTTGCCCCCCGCCCGCGCCCCCGCCCCCCCGCCCCCCTGCCGGCCGGTCCCGGGGCTCCCTTCCCTCCGCCCCTGCACACCCCCGCGCGCGCGCACGGGCGCTGGGGAGCTAACGCCGGGGGCGGGGGGGGGCTCCGATGCCCCTCCCCGCGCACACCCAGTGCTCTAGACTCGGTGTGATGGTTTGCGGTACGTGGTAAGACATTATTAAAATGCAAAATACCTTTTTTCCTCCCGAGAAGGGAAAAATGACTTTGGCACGCTGTGAGCTGCAGCGGTGGGGAGGTGGGGGGTCGGCGGGGGGTAGGGGGTAGGGGAAAGAAGGGTTTCTGGTCCAATAATGCTGAGTATTCGCCCCTGAATCGAATTCCTTGTCGTCCCCCCCCCCGCCCGCCCCAGTTCAGATTTTACCTGGGAAGAAAGGTGGATATAGGGGCAAGAAGGGATGTGAGACTCGGGCATCACCACTTCCCCGCCAGTGCTCATCTGTCCCCCACCCCGCGCCCCCCAGCTCCCCCGCCCACCACCACCACCTCAATCTATCAAAAACGGATCACAAGTGGGTGTGGTGTAAATGCAAGAGGGCCCCTGGAAACGCAGAATGCAAAATCTACTGGGCGGAGACGGGAAAGCCACGCTCCGGGAGCCGCGCCCTCCCCAGAGTAGCCCCGCCCTCCTCCGAGTAGCCCCGCCCTCCGATAGCCCGCCATGTGGCCCCGCCCCCTGGTGGCCCCGCCCCCTCGCGGCCCCGCCCCCCAGTTCTCAGTGTCTGGAGTCTAAGCTTTAAAACGTTGACAGAGCTGCCTGTTCAATCAGAACGGTTCTTTCTTCTTTTTTTTTTTTTTAAACAGAACGGTTCTGACCCCCTTCTTAGACTGGGTTTTCTTTTGCGCTTACCCGATCTCCCTTCTTTTTTTTTTTTTTTAAATCTAAGGAGCTGTGCACAAAGATCTGGGTTCTTAACCAATGAATTAACCAACCTGGTTATTAATCCTCTCCGAAGGGGGCTAAAACTTAGCTAAAAAAAAAAAAATTTTTTTTTTTCTGTGTAGCTTCTTCCTGGGACAATGTCCCTCTTCCCAGCCCCCATCCCATCCATTAGGGCGCCCCGACTTGGGTTTTCCTAACTGCCAGCTACAGACACGATCGTGTAGGATAGGAGTGCGAAAGCGCTTGCAAAGCAGCAGGACTTTCCCGGGCTCACCCTGGAACCCCGCAAGCCTCGCAGGGTTTGCGGGTCGCCCCCCCACCGGCAGCCCCCGGCCGCCCCTCCACTTTGCAGGAGGCAGTCCTCCCCCGGATTGCAGCCTGCAAAAAAAAAAAAAAAAAAAAGGAACAGAGGAGTGCAACGCGCAGGCCCCGGAGGCCCGAGGGGCGGGTTTGCGGAGTTATTTTTATTAAGAGCCACTTTTCAAAGGCGGTCCTGGCCGCGCTCATCCAGGGGGATGTGGATTTGGAAAAGCTTAGCGCCTGGGGGAGAAAAGGTATGAATTGATTTCCTGGCTTGGAAGCGGGCGCTCTGGGTAATAATCCGGTCACAAAGAAAGTATGCAAGGTATCACTCAGCCGCTTTCTGGCCCCGCTTTTATTTGCCCAACCGTGTGGTTGGTGTGATGTGGTTGGTGCGGAGGGTGTGCGCGCAGGGCGCTCGCACGCACGCGCGCTACCGCTTGGAAGAGCAAATTGGCTCATCATCCAACTTTCCAGTTGAACGTAATACACAGAGAGACACACAAAGACACCGGCTTTTGTCCCAAGCAAGATGCCTTTCAGACTTCTCTGCAGCCCGTTCCCCAACCCCTACCTTCTAGCCGCCTCCTGGGGAACCCCTGGCTGCCTCCCCGCCCCACCCCGACTTTCTTGGCGACTCCACCCCGCCTCTGGCAGGTGCCAACGGAGGACGGTTGCAGGATGGCTACGGGGACTCCTTCCTCCTGGGAGATAGGATGGTAGTGGGCGCTCCTGGCTCTAGCTTTTTGCAACCGTTGAGGGGGTCCCCCGAAAAGTTGGAGATGGCGCAGAGAGGTTCCATGAAGAGAGGGAAGTGAACAGAGACAGGGAGGAAGGTGTCAGCTCCCTTGGCCAAAAATCCTGCTCCCCAACACCCCAGCACCGTATCCTCCCTACCAAGGTGGGCAGGGAGAACCTGGATTTGCCTCTCCCCCCTGTGGTTGCCATACAGGTAGAGATACAGGTAGAGATGATGGATGCATACACACACACACACACACACACACACCAAAAGATATGTGCGCACGGGAAGATATAGATACATATCTTTTTTTAAGCAAAAGAAAAAAAAGTGCATTTCTCGAATCCGGAATGGGGAGCTGAGGAGAGCGAGGTGGCAGGCAGCCAAAGCTGCTGGAGGAAGAGCTGAGGGCGGGCAGGCGGAGACTGGTGTTTTGCTGGGCGCGTTGCTGAGCAACCAGAGAGCCAGTCCGCCCGCGAACTGGGTGCTGGGAGCCCGCTGGGCCCTGCATTTTATTTTGGCCAGTTCTGGGGCAAAGATAGATATAGAAACAGAGGGCAGTGTGTGTGAGGCTGGAGGGAGGCGGGAGACAGGAGTTCTTTATTGAGCCAAACTCAATAAATACCGGTGAGCTGGATGGAGGCAAGGACGCACCAGGCTTTGCTTGGGCATTGTTGGGAGAAGGGTTCTGGGAGATCTCCCTTGAGCCCCTGAGACATTAAGCTTGGGATACAGGGAGAAATGGGTTCTGCGTTTCCATTCTGTCATTGAGAAATAAGAGAGAGTGGACAGAAAGTATGCTCTGGGAACGAAAAGAAATATTACCTAAATAAAAATGAATTTGGCCTTTGCATCTCTGAGGGGTTTGGCGTCCATTACCCTGGCTTCCACTCCAAGCCTGGTCCAAATGCCATGTTGAAGTCAAGTCCCAGAGTTCGGTTTATTGGCCAAATTTGTGTCTGGGTTGAACAAGATCATGGAAAACCAAAGGAGCCAGATTCCTTTCCCACTCGCACCCCCTCCCTTTGAAATAAGCCTTTGAGAGGCTGGCTGTGCCCTGAGCCAACCAAAATGGGAGCCGGGAAGATGAGAGACGGTGCTTTTAACTTGACTTTTCTTGCCTCCCGCCCCCTCTTTCTGCTGTGTCAGCTCAGACTGGAAGAGCAAAGACAGTTGGCCACAGTGAGAACTCATTTTCTTTCCATATTTCTCTTTTCTTATCCCTCCTTCCGACCCCACCCCCCCACCCCCCCCTTCTCCATCCCCTAGCTTGACGGCATTCCCTGAGGGCTTGAGTTTTAAGTCAGAGCAGCTGCCAGTTAGTGCTTAGGCTTGGGTTGGATTTGAGCAGACAGGTGGACTTGCAGCTGCAGAGAGAGGACTGGGCTGACCTAGGAGGCAGAGGTCACCATGGGGGTTACAGCAAAGGGCATGGGAGTAGGAATCCCACAGAAGCCCCAGTCCCCTTAAAAGGGATGGGAGGTGGGGGGAGGTGGCTAGCAGGAAAGGAGGGTAATTTTTGCCTAAAGCTTTGACTTTGTACCTGAGCAATGCCTTTGAAACTTTGGGTTATTTAATGCGTAGAAATAGAACTTCGAAGAATGGATCCGCACACTCCAATCCTCCTGCATCCAGAAACTGGAAGGACTCCATGTACAGACCAGGTACCAGTGAGGGATCAACAGGGAGCAGAAGTGAAGAGGATGGGAGAATGGGTGTGGTGAGAGAGGAAGAGGCAATTTGGAGGGATTTTGTTTGAGTTTTTGTTTCGCATTTTTACTATAGTTGGTCCCAAAGATACAATCCCTGGAGGCCATCCTTAAATTACAGTCTGGATTTTGTTTTCCAAAACAATAAGATTCATTACCTATTTGCAAAAATAAATAAAGAAGCCAGTTCTAAGCTTCTATTTCCCACTGCCCTCTATCCAGAGGATCCCCCCACTTTTGTTTCCAGTTCTGTTTCCATGATTTCTGTTGTGATGCCTTTTTTTTTTAAATATAAATCCAGAGGAATTATTGCAAACTTCTATGGGAGATAAAGTGATGTTTCCTACCTGGCCACTTGGCTTAGCTTGGTCCTAGTGTCTCCCCATGAATGGGCTAGGTACTGGCCAAAGAGTGCTAATGCTGGAAACAACCCATAGATCTTAGTACTCAAAACAGCAATTTCACAGATGAGAACACCAAGGCAGGGAGTGCAGGGTTAGTGGCAGAGCCAGGACTAGATGGAACTCAGTCTGACAGTCCTATTGATTCTATACCCATTCCGCTCTTCTGGGCTTTCTAGACTAGTCACTAGGGCTCTCACCAAGGCCTGGCCTAAGTTACCATGAGGCCTTCGGCAAATATGGCCCGACATTGTCTTCCCATAGTGGGGCTTGTGAAGATGAACTGGGCGGAGGGACTGCTCTGTTTTAAGGTAAGAAGTGAAGTGGCCCTAAAGTGGAGAATGCAGCCCCCACCCCACCCCCAGCTTTTACTTTCAATCACACTCCGTTGTATCCCTTTTTCTCCATGGTCTTGGAAACAAGACTGGCTTAGGCCGGGGTGGAAAGGAG